TATCCACACAATAAATTAGCTAACTCATGAGAGATTATATGCTAAGCTCTTTATGTAAAATACTGCATGTAATCATCACAAAAAGCAGGTACAGTGGGTTTTTCCATGTGTTCTACTTTCTGAATGCAAAAACTGATTCCCGGAGAGAAGAAATAACTGATCCAAGGGTGTGGAGACAGGAATGATGGACTTTAAGTTGATAGTAGCCCTTTTGACCTCAGACTGAGGCTGTGATGGGGTAGCTTACAGGGACTGAGATGGCTTGACTGAGAGGAAGGAACGGCATTGTAATTGGAGGGAACAATATGGGCAGAGGGTAGAGGTTTGAGGAGTGTGGTGAGTTCAGGAAAACCACAGAAGATCCATTTGGGGCAGAAAATGCAGAAAAACAAACCTACAGATGGAGATGTCCGGGCTGAGGAGTGGGACTGTCTCCTGGGGGCCCAGGAAGGGGAGGGAGGGGCAGAGTCAGTGCTGGGTGTGAAGACTCCCCTGGAGCCCTGTGGAAGACAGGCTGGAGGGGGAGGCTGGGGCCAGGGACAGAGAGAGGAGAGGGGGGAGGGAATGAGGGCTGTGTGTGTGTGTGTGTGTGTGTGTGTGTGTGTGGAGGGGTGGGCCACTGGGGCTGGGGCTTGGGACAGAAAGGAGGGATCTGAGAGTCAGGGGCAGAGTAACTGGCTTTGGGGTTCTCAGGATGATGTCACGGAGGTTAGGGGTCAGGATGACAAAGCATGGAAAGTAGGTGTCCTTGGCCGTGGATCTGAAGTTCCCTAGTCATACTGTCACATTGTCATAGAGGTGGCGGGTCCCAGAATAAACTCCCTGGAGGGAGCCTGGGTAGCTCAGTTGGTAGAGCATTGGACTTTTAATCTGAGGGCTCAGGGTTCAAGTCCCTCTTTGGGCGTGTTCAGTGGCTTTTAGCATCTAATTCTGACTTCATGTTTGAAAAAAAGATCGTTTTTAGTATGCAGCTAAATACCAGAAAAATAAGCAAACGAAAAACAAAAAAGAGAAGCCAGAGGTGAGAAAGTGAAGATCTCAGTGATGGGCTCCTAAAAGTGGGTAGAGCCTGGTTAGGGGCCAGGGACTCCGGGTAAACGGGTTCAGGTTCTCAGAATGAGGCCGTCCAGAAGGTCGGGGTAACGTTGTATGGGGAGCAGGGTCGGGGGCTCGCCGCGTACCGGGCGCGTAGTGGCCATAGGTGGCGTTGCGCAGCTCCTCCCAACCCACACGCCCGTCGCGGTCCGTGTCGTACGTGTCCCAGGCCGCGCTCACCGAGTCCCGTATGTGCCGCTGCTGCGTGTGCGCGATCCACGCGCGAAGCTCGGCCAGCGATACCCAGCCGTCGCCGTCCCCCGCGCGGTCCATGCGGTCCACGATCCGCCTGCGAGCCGGGGCGGGCACAAGTCAGTCTCTGGCCCCGCCCCATGCCCCGCCCCTCGCACGGGGCCACGCCCCCTGAGACACATCGGATCCGCGGGTGAACTGGGGAGGGACGCGTGTCAATTTCGGGACCAAACCCAGCGGAGGACCCTCAGCCTAGGGTCCACCCCCGGGACAAGTCACGCCCTTCCTGAAAACGAGCGGGCCTGCTGGGAGCACTGCGTGGGAGAGACCTACGACGATGCAGGGCCACCCTCTCCGCGCCGGCCCCGCCCTCGGCCTGCACGTGCTGCACCTCTAGCTGGGCTGAGCTGTGGTGGTGATGGGGAGCGCGGTGTCGCACTGCGCCCCTTGCCAGGGGGGCCCTGTTCCAAGACTGACTTTGAATCCAGACAGCCACGGCCACACCCCCGAGCCCCGGCTGTCTCAGGCCCCGACCCGCCCCATACCCCGCCCCCTTACCAGGCTGCGCGTGTCAATTTCAGGCTCCTATCCCTCCAGCCCTGCCCTGCGCTGCGCCTGGTGGCTTTCTCCTGCCTGCTCCCGGCTGAATCAGGCACTGCCCGAGGACCATCACCCGCAACCCCAGGGGCTCGGTCTCTCTATACCCTTCCCCATGCTCCTCGGGGCTCCTGTGCCCCTCCCCGTCACATGTCAAGCCACTTAGGTTCCATCTCGCCCCTTCTCTCGGGCCACGCTTGTCAGCTCCCCGGCCCTTCTCCTCTCCATGTCAGGCCGGTCCTCGCCCAATCTCTAATTAACAGAGACTACATGGAGCCCTCCTCCCTGTCACCGTCCCTATACCCCCGCGGCCCCCTCCCTAAGGTCGAAAATCTGAGACAGAAAAAAAAAAAAAAGAAAGAAAATCTGACACAGCAGAGCCCTCTCCAGGCCTGCCTGAGTCACCGCCCCACCTCCCGCACCAGGTGGTCTCTGCTCCGGTCTGTCAAGGGCCGACTCTGTCCCCAGATTCACACCCTTCTCTGAAGTTACTGCTGTTGTTAAGAGCTTGGGCTCCACAGCCAGACATTTTAGGTCCAAATCCAGCCACTTCCTCTTACTGGCTGTGTGACTGTGGGCAAGTGACTTAACCTCTCTTGTGCCTCGGTTACCCCTCTGTAAAAGAGAGAGAAAAGGCCGGGCGCGGTGGCTCAAGCCTGAGTGAGCTGAGATCCGGCCATTGCACTCCAACCTGGGCGGCAGAGCGAGACTTCGCCTCAAAAAAAAAAAAAAAAAAAAAAGCAGAGAGAGAAAAAATGGTACCTACCCCAAAAGGGCAGCTCTGGGGAATAAATGAGTTTGGCCATGGAAAGTACTTAGGACAGGACAGGCGTGGTGACTCACACCTGTAATCCCAGGCTTGGCAAGCCAAGACGGGCGGATCGCTTGAGATCAGGCCTTCCAGACCAGCCTGGCCCACATAGTGAAACCTCATCTCTATTAAAAACACAAAAATTAGCCGGGCGTGGTGGCCCGAACCTGAAATCCCAGCTACTCGAAGGCTGACACGGGAGAACTGCTTGAATCCAGGAGGTGGAGGTTGCAGTGAGCCGAGATAGTACCACTGCACTCCAGCCTGGGCAACAGAGCGAGACTCTGTCTCAAATAATGATAATAATAATAATATAATAGGCCGGGCACGGTGGCTCACGCCTGTAATTCCAGCACTTTGGGAGGCCAAGGTGGGCAGATCACTGAGGTCAGGAGTTCAAGACCAGCCTGGCCAACATGGTGAAACCCAGTCTCTACTAAAAATACAAAAATTAACTGTGCGCAGTGGTAGGTGCCTGTAATCTCCACTACTTGGGAGGCTGAGGCAGGAGAATCGCTTGAACCCAGGAGGTGTAGGTTGCAGTGAGCTGAGATCATGCCACTGCACTCCGTCCTGGGCAACAAAGTAAGACCTTGTCGCAAAATAAATAAATAAATAAATAAAAGGGCCAAAGGTCCTCTTCATGCCTCAATTTTAACTTAATTTGCTTTTCCCAAGGAGAGAAGGTAGAATTTCATTTCTCACAAAGAACTGAAGTTCAGTCCACGCCATTTCTCTAACCCCTGTCAATACCCCGGCAACTCTCTCCCAAACCCCACCTCCGAACACGCCCCAACCGCATGTCTCTCCTACCCCAGACGGGCCTGGCTTTCCTCTGGGGTGAGTTGGTCGAATTCCTTGGCCACTTCCCGTCCCAGGAAAGCCTCATGGTCGTACTGGAAGTTCCCGTGGGAGTCATCATGGGGGGCGTCGCTCAGGGGGGCCGCCTGGTGCACCCTCCCCTGGCCATGAGGGCCTGCGTCTGGGGACGGTTTCCCCTGGGCCCCGTGCCTCAGTAGCAACAGCAGCAGCAGAAGCGATGCTCGCCACATCATCGGTCCCTGGGGAGAGGCAAAGGCCAGGGGTCAGGGGTTACAGGTATGAGGACAGAGACGGGACAGGAGAATGGCGGGGTGGAGGGGTTACCTAGGACAGGACAGGGAGATGGAAGTTGGCTACAAACTTTGGGGCTCAAAAAGGGCGGGCGATGGGGGAAAAGAGGGCGTGATGCTTAGAGGTAAAGCCACCTATGGGGGGACCGACTCTTCTGACGGAGTCTCAGGGGGTCCCAGACCTGCGAGGGGGAATTTCAGGGAGAGACGTGGCGCACATCCCACGCAAAGTACAGGGCATAGTTGTGGCCAGCCAGAGGTCAGGGAGGCTCCCCGTCATTGTTCCCAGTCCGGACCCTGATCCTCGACCCGAGCCGCCCCGAGCCGCCCTGCCTGGACTGAGGCCCCCCACCCACTCCCTTTACCCAGTCATCCAGCTTCGCTCCGCTCTCCACGCTCGGCTCTGCGTTCCCGCAAAAGTGCCCAATTCGGCCGCTCTCCAGTCAGGCCCCGCCTCTGGCTGCGCAGAGCCCCGCCCCCCGCCCAATGAGCTCGCACGAACGACTCATGGGGCGGGGCCAACGAGTGCCGGGAAGGCCGCCGGCGCCCCTCGCCACGTCCACAAAGGAAACCGCGGCCTGCCCAGGGAAGGCGGGTGGGCGACGCCGCAGTGACGCGGCCGGGGAGAACTACAACTCCTGTCAGTCGTCGCGGCACTCTGCCGTCCACCTCCAGCTGTTCTAGCCCCAACGCCTCACGGGAAATGTATTTTTCCCTCTTTCCCTTTGTCAGGATGGTTTAAGAAAGAGGTGTACGTCCCAACAGTCCTATACCAAAAAAAAAAAAAGAAAAAAGAAAAAAGAAAAGAAAAGAAAAGAAAGAAAAGAAAAGAAGGCCGGGCGCGGTGGCTCACGCTCACGCTTGTAATCACAGCACTTTGGGAGACCGAGGCGGGCGGATCACCTGAGGTCGGGAGTTCGAGACCAGCCTGACCAACATGGAGAAACCCCGTCTCTACTAAACATACAAAATTAGCTGGGTGTGGTGGTGCATGCCTGTAATCCCAACTACTTTGGGAGGCTGAGGCAGGAGAATCGCTTGAACCCGGGAGGCGGAGGTTGCGGTCAGCCGAGATCGCGCCATTGCATTCCAGCCTGGGCAACAAGAGCGAAACTCCATCTCAAAAAAAAAAAGAAAAAAAAAAAAGGACGAGCCGAATCGAGGGGCTGGAGGAAATACCCCATTTCCTCCAAGAGTGAACAGTGCTCCTCGCTCCTCTTCTGCTCCAGCGATTCAGATGATCAGACAGTGGCCAAGAATTCCTCAAAATGGCACAGCAGTTATCCAGTAAACATTTGTAAAAGTTATGAATTAAAAATACATGAGCACAGTAGCTCAACGCCTGTAATCCCAGAACTTTGGGAGGCTGAGGCAGGTGGGTCACCTAAGGTCAAGAGTTCCAGACCAGCCTGACCAACATGGTGAAACTCCCATCTCTACTAAACATACAAAATTAGCCAGGTGTGGTGGCGCATGGCTGTAATCCCAGCTACTGGGGAGGCTGAGGCAGGAGAATCGCTTGAACCTGGGAAGCGGAGGTTGTGGTGAACCGAGATCAAGCCACTGTACTCCAGCCTGGCAGCCTGGGCTATAGAGCAAGATTCCGTCTCAAAAAAAAAAAAAGAACAGGCTGGGCGCAGTGGCTCACACCTGTAATCCCAGCACTTTGGGAGGCAGAGGCGGGTGGATCACCAGGTCAGAAGATCGAGACTATCCTAGCTAACATGGTGAAACCCCATCTCTACTAAAAATACAAAAAATTTTCCAGGTGTGGTGGCAGGCACCTGTAGTCCCAGCTACTTGGGAGGCTGAGGCAGAATGGTGTGAACCCAAGAGGTGGAGCTTGCAGTGAGCCAAGATCACGCCACTGCACTTCAGCCTGGGCAAACAGAGCAAGACTCTGTCAAAAAAAAAAAAAAGAAAAAGAAAAAGAAAATACGTGACCTGATGTATAAAACTGGCAGGTTCCCCTGTGGCAGCATGTTACCTGTAGGAGAGATCCGAGCCTCAGCGGCCATTCAGTCCCCTGACTTATTCCCTTACCTCCCCTGCCTGAAAAATGATGAGAACACACTGATTCGGGCCCAAACTCGTGTTATATTATCGAGGTGGAAAAGAGCCATATGTATTAGGAGGGGAAACTGAGGCAGACCACAGGACGGGGCTCCAGAGGGAGGACAACAGGGCCCAGGACCCCTTCTGGAGGCTCAGAGATGCCAGTGTTCCAGGTCTCACAGCATGAAAGGGGCCTGACTACATTCGCTTTTAGCAGTCGGAATGGCGGATGGTCAGGCAGTGGCTGGGATCACATTTATATCCTTCGAATCAGCATCCTGGGCCTCCCCCGGGGTGGGCAGGAGGGACCCGGTGTCATCTCCACGGAGGGAGATCCAAGGGGCTGTGGAGAGAGAGGGGCAGGTCATCAGAATCTCTGAGGTGCTCTGGGTCTGACTGGCATCCCCCATTTCTGTGTGTGTCTCACACACACTCCCTCAGTCTCTAACCCCTTCCTTCTGGGCCTGTCTCCCCTTCTCCCAATTTTCCATCCCCCCTCTTTCTACATCTTTGCCTCCCTCCTCGGGGTCTCTGTCTCCCCCTTCCTCTGTCCCCTCTCTCTGTGCCTCTGTTCCCCCGTCTCTGGGTTTCTGTCTCCACTTCTCTCTGGTCTCTGTGCTCCTCTCTTTGGGTCTGTCCCCACACCAGGTCTCTCTCCTCCCAGGTCTGTTTGCCCCTCTCTTGGGGTCTCTGTCCCTCTCTCCAAGGCTCTTCCTCCCGCTGCCCACACCTGGCAGCCCACTCCTCATCCTTCTCCACAACAGAGCTCCTCCTACAGCCGCTGCCGTGAGTAGCAAGACACCGACGACGATTCCCACCACGAGCATCGAGGACTTGGCTGGAGTTTCTGCAGCCAGAGAACGCTGTGAGATGTGGAGCAGCCCGTCCACCCCCACCCAGTCAGGACACAGCACTGGGGAGTCCCAGTCCCTCCCAGCCTCGGAGATCCCAGCACCAAGTGTCTGATGGACAGAGGCAAGGCCAGGCGGGCGATCTCGGCAGGGTGCCCCCAGGCTGGATGTAAAGAACCAGCCACAGCACGAGCGGCCGCGGTCACACCGGCAATGGACCAGCAGCGGCAGGGTGGGGCTGTCCCGGCGCAGCGGGGAGAGGCAGGCAGAGCAGTGGGAAGTCAGCCTCATGGGCCCCGGCAGTAGCAAGGCAGCAAGTGGTCAGTCTTGGTGAGGACGGGCATAGCAGACAACGAATGGTCAGATTCCAGGAGCTGCAGCAGCAGCAGCAGGATGGAAGACGGTCAGACTCAGGGAGGACTGGCCATGGTGGTTAACAGCTCTTCAGACTCAGTGAGGCCAGAAGCAGCAGGACGGAAGGCAGTCGGCCTTGGGAAGGACAAGGCATCAGGCTTTGGGGGCACTGACAGGCGCGAGGCACAAGGCAGTCAGATTCAAGGAGGTGGCAGCAGCGGGGAGGAAGGTCAGACTCAGGAAGGACCGGCGCAGCAGTGAGACAAGGCAACGGGAAACCAGGAGCATCACCACAGGGCGGGGCCTCACCCAGCTCCACCCTGAGGGGCTGCGCCAGCCCCGCGTGCTGCACGATGCAGCAGTAGTGGTGCTCATCGCCACTTTTGACTGTTAGTGACGATGAGGCGTGGAAGGAGCCGTCACTGTTGGGGCCGAAGTCACCCTGGCCGGTGCCAGCAGCCAGCCCATTCCGCAGGAACCGAAGTTGCAGTTCCGGAGGGTAGAAGGAGAAGGCGCTGCAGGTAAGCACGGAAAAGCCAGGGTTGCCGGGTCGGGCCTTCAGGCGCATGGAGGGGGGCTCTGCAGGAAACCAGGCAGACAGGTCTAAGCCCTGAGCCCACCACTCCCAGGGCCAGGGCTGGGTAAGGACAGAAAGAGGCCTCCATGTTTGCAATGTGCTAACCCCGAATAATGTGGTGGTAAAAGAGGAGGCGCTTCCCAGGTGACAGAGACTGAACCTATCCACCCTGAAGGTGTCCCCTCAAGATGTCACCTCCCTGGGCTGGGCATGGTGGCTCACGCCTGTAATCCCAACACTTTGGGAGGCCAAAGTGGGTGGATCACCTGGGGTCAGGAGTTTGAGACCAGACTGGCCAACGTGGTGAAACCCCATCTCTACTAAAAATACAAAAATTAGCTGGGCACCTGTAGTCCCAGCTACTCAGGAGGCTGAGGCAGGAGAATCGCTTGAACCTGGAAGGCAGAGGTTGCAGTGAGCTGGGATCGCGCCACTGCACTCCAGCCTGAGTGACAGAGCGAGACCCCGTCTCGGGGAAAGGAAAAAAAAAAGATAGAGGATAATTATGAAAAATTCCATACTAACACATTTGAAAATTTAGATGAACTGAACACATTCTTGATAAATACAACCTTCTAAACTGACACAAGAGGAAATTTAAAACGTCAGCAGTCCTGTAAGTATTTACATTTTTTTTTTTTTTTTGAGATGGAGTCTCGCTCTGTCGTCCAGGCTGGTGTGCAGTGGCAGGATCTCTGCTCACTGCAAGCTCTGCCTCCCAGGTTTACGCCATTCTCCTGCCTCAGCCTCCGGAGTAGCTGCAACTACAGGCGCCCGTCACCACGCCGATAGTTTTTTGTATTTTTAGTAGAGATAGGGTTTCACCATCTTAGCCAGGATGGTCTCAATCTCCTGACCTCGTGATCTGCCTGCCTCAGCCTCCCAAAGTGCTGGGATTACAGGCATGAGCCACCACGCGCGGCCTTTTTTTTTTTTTCTGAGATAGAGTCTCGCTCTGTCACCCACGCATGATCTCAGCTCACTGCAACCCCCGCCTCCTGGGTTCAAGTGTTTCTTCTCCCTCAGTCTCCCGAGTAGCTGGGACTACAGGTGCACACACCAATACACCAGGTAACTTTGTTTTTAGTAGAGACAGGGTCTCACCATATTGGCCAAGCTGGTCTCAAATTCCTGACATTGTGATCTACCCACCTCAGCCTCTCAAAATGTTGGGATTACAGGCGTGATGCACCGTGCCCGGCCTATTTAAAATGTTTAATCCATGGTTTAAAACTTTCCGAAAACTAAAATTCCAGGTCCGGAAGACATCAATTAGTGAATTCTTCCAATGTAGAAATGATTCTACTCCTACGCAAACTCTTCAGGCAATAAAACAGAGGAAACACTCTCCCAGCATATTTTATGAGGTCAGCATCATCTTGACAACAAAGGACATTATAAGAAAGAGAACTTAAGGCCAATGTCTCTCATAAAATAGATTCAGGATGGGTGCAGTAGCTCACACCTGGAATCCCAGCATTTTGGGAGGCCAAGGTGGGCGGATCAGGAGGTCAGGAGATCAAGACCATCCTGGCTAACACAGTGAAACTCCATCTCTACTAAAAATACAAAAAAATGAGCCGGGTGTGGTGGCGGGCGCCTGTAGTCCCAGCTACTCGGGAGGCTGAGGCAG